GAATAATAATAAGTCTTATCTCATGAAAAGTTAAAACTGCCAAGAAACCACCCCAAACTACCACAAATTACCTAATTAGGACGAGGTATTGAAATCTGGTATGTATGTTCTTATGCTTTCTAGATAAAGGTGCATACATTGCTCTTTGAAGAGGAAAGGTTGGATCATGTACATTGATGATTCTTCTGCTGTTTCTAACCCCCGTACTAATTTTAGTGCGAGTCAAATATCAACAAATTGATCTAACCTTTACTACAGTTTATACAGCCTGAAATTTTATCTAGAGGTCCAGCCCATTTACAAAGTATAAAGTCTGTACTAATAGACCAGGTTGAAACTGGGGTTAGCACCAACATCTTTACAAGGCATAGTTTTAAAAATTAAAACAATGGCTAACACCTAGCTTAGAGACAGAAACTTTGAAAGCAGTGTGTGAAATGATTGAATGTTACAGTCAAAAAGTTATTCTGTGTGTGATGTAATCTGTGCTATAAAAATGCTTAACTGCTTATCTTACAAGATGAATCTCTCTTTGGCTACCTTTTATTGTTTAGGTGTAGCTAGTGTTATTTAAATCCAGAATTAAGACCTGTGAAAGAAAGACTGCTTTTTGGATCAATAAGGCCTATTTCTTATGGATTTTTCTGTCAAATCATTGTTATGGATCACCAGTTTATCTCTTGGGGAGATGTACCATGCATTTGATCTCTGCCTCCTTTCTTCTCTTCCCCAAAAACCAAATACAAAACCCCACAACTTGAGAATAACTTGTATTAAGCAAAGAGGGGTGGCAAAAGTGGAGCCCCGTGGGACCTCGCAGACCAGCAGTTCTTGGAGGGAGCGGGGAAAGCAGCATCACACCTCTCTGATGGCCAGAATGGTCTCTGCCTCTGTTCTTCTGCAGAAGTGTGAATGTAGGTGTATGTTGACTGCCTAAGAGGTGGCTAAAAGAATGTAATGCGTAGTGGATGGAACCAGCTGTGGAGACTCTGCCTCTTTCTTATACATTGATCGATCCTGGAAGACAAATCTTCAAGTTTTAACAGTTCATCCAACAAATGAGATGAGATATAAGAGACACCCAAAAGTCATTCGTTCCTTTGTTGTGACATTTTTTCCCAGAGATAAGGAACTGGAGCTTAATAGCTAGTGATGAAGCAGGAGTTTAAATTTTATTTCCTGAACGAGGACCAAAGTCTTTGACTTCACGGCAGCTTGCCATACCTTTAGGAGTCAGAGGTCCCCACCAGATGTGGCCTGTCTTGAACATTCTAGCCATACTCATCTCTGTGCTTTCTAAAGTGTTCAGTCTTCACTGCTGTAAGTGCGTAGTAATTTACTGAGGTATGACTTTAAACTTGGCAGTCTGAAACATGGTTATGGGGGTATCATTTGACTCCTGCTGTTAAAGGTTCCTGAAAAGGAAAAGAAAGCATTGCAGATGACACCCTGTAGCGGTATGTAAACTATAATGGAAAGCGATTTACAAGAGGGTGGCAGCTGAAATCTTTGTATTACCCACACTTGTGTTTACTGCTGATCTTGTATACACATGTAATAGCGTGTAACTCGCATGTGTGAGGAAATAGCTCCATGCATACAACAGTCTGCTTTGTGTGTGCAATTTATGATAACCATCAGGGCCCTCCGACCCCTTTGTTAAATGCAGCTCTTTGATTATGATAAAGTAGTTCTTGGTGCTCTTTTAAGCTCAGTTCTCTGTTGTATTTTAACAAAGTACTTTATGAACGGCTTCCTGTTTTTTTGCTATATAAGAAAATGTTTGCTGTTCAGAATATCGTGGAAGAGAATTCCTCACCCTGCTGCCGACTGTGATGCTGCACTCTTTTAGCTTTTCTTGTCTTACATTATTCTTCATAAAACAAAAATGTGAAAGCTGACGCGCACAAATCTCACTGTTAGGCATATTGCATAGTAAACTTTATTTATCGATGTGCTTTCTGGTTATTGTCTGTGACAAGATATCCAATATGTCAGTTCAAAAAGTGGAATCCTGTGGAGCCTTGTGCAGCTGTTTTGGTATGAAGTCTCTTTTGCCAGCTGACAATCCAGCCCCTTAGCAGTTTCATATCTCTATGAAACTCTCACCTGCTGCTCATTCTGTATTCAGTATTCTTTCTCGGTTAATTCTTGAATATTCTCTTCTCCCCCCTCCACTGCCTGCTTCCTTGTAACTAATTATTCAATTATCATGAAAAAATAATACTGTTGAAAGACTGCGTATCTTTAATTATCTTTAGTTTCTTTTTGTTTGGAGGAAAACAAGGGAGTAGGCATTCAGTAGTTGTGTTGTATAACTTCCAAATGTGGGAACTTTGTGCGCTCCTGATTTACTGATTGTCCCTTCAGCGTTTCTTTTGGTGGCTCTTTTTCTAAATTTCTTCTGTGGGTCGTTATCAGACTGCCCCTTGTTTTGTCCTGGCACTTTAAGGAAAAGGCTAATGTTATCGTGTTTCCTCTATTACTGTTCTCACTGGTGAATGGGCTTGAAGTTGCCTGCTGAGTTCAGGAGTTGACAGTAGAAGCCTCAAAGAGGATAACAGAATGCACGTGAGAGTATGCAGTTGCAGAGGAAGGAGAAGCAAATTATGAATCAACAGAGAACTTGAAACCTTTACCGTTTCCTGAACTGCAAGCTCCAAATGGAACTTTTCTCACAATCATCCATGAGATTCAAAACCATAGGTAACCAGGTTTCATGGATTCTGATGCTTATGGAATTGCAGTTTCTGTTTTTTGCTCTCTCTTCAGCCAGTCTCATTTTTTTTCTCACAACTTCAACAAACTGCTGAGTCCTAAGCCCAGAACTGGGATCCCCTCTGTTCAGCCATAGATGTTCAGCAGTGCCAGTCATGTCTTGGAACAGTTTGTAAAGCTAAACTACTTTCATTAGATGCTTTCCTTTCTCGCCCGTGACGGTTCTCTGACATCCTTTGTCTCCCAGACTCTTGTTCTCAGCATCACATCTCGTGTCTTATATGCTGGTAACAATCCCCTGAAGCCCCTCTTCAGTGCCATCAATCTGTTCTTGGTGCTTGCTGCTGAAACTCTAGTTCAGGCTTTACTTACCTCCCTGCTCTGACTTCTTCTTTAATGAAGAAAATCAGACTAAGTGCAAGTTACTTTCAGTTCAACAGTAATTTTTCTCATGTTTTTTCAGATTGTTCTGCCAAGGCACCAGGCACCGCAGTCTTTGAAGCCTAGACCAGGAACAGACAGACGTCTAGTCAAATTATGGACCGAACTTCGTATTTCCCTTTCCTGTTGTTGTAGAAATGTTTTTTTTCCTGATAGTTTTGAATATGACCAGTCATTGGACTCAAGTACTGATTTATGAGGATGGTTTTCTTAGGGTTTTTCTGCATTTAATGGAGAGGCAGAAAGAAGCTTTCTTGTGATGGTGGGGTGTTAGGGCACTGATGTGTGGTTTCTGCACTGAACAGCTCTCTCCTTGCTCTGTTAGTATCGGTAAATATGTGAAATGGTATCGGTGAGAAGTTGCAATGATTTTTGTCTTTTTTTCTAGAAAGAAAGTTGGCATCAGAAACCCGAGAAAGAGACATTTCCCTGTCTGTTTAGACTCCATGGAGCATTCTATACTTAAAGTTAGGCAGTGTGACCATCTCTGATGTATTAACTCTGAAGCTGCAGATGCAGAAATGATCTACAAGGAGATTATATTTAACTACGAATACTTGCTTTGGATTTAGGAAAGGAAGCTGTGAGATTACAAAAACTAGGTACAAGAAGAAAGTGTGGGTTTGTGTGTTTGGGACGTGAGGTGTTTGACTCCCTCTGGTATTGGTACATGCTTACTGTTAAAAATGAGAAGTGAATTGTGCCTCATTTCTTCATTCTGCTTCCTGAAGTTGAATTATAACTGTAGTGGTTAGGAGTTAATTGTAGAGTAATGAAGGAAGTTTATATTTCAAATGTCAGTTAACCTGAAGGGAGAATTGAAGTATGACTTTCTTTTGCAAATAGGCAGGTATTTCTCTTTTGTAGATAGGTGCTATATCCTCCAACTGTGCTTTCTCCTTTGTCTACTGAGGTTTTTTGTTCAGATCAGTTAGACTTTTTTTTGATCACAAAGTAAGCTGGGAGACTATTCAAAGCCATTTTTAAGATTGAACTTGGGGTACTCTTCCTTTGTTGCTCTGCCAGTTCTTTGCATGCTGACCTAAAACTCTCGCAGTCCAGGATACTAGGCACTATAATTCAGTCTTCAGCCATGTTAATTATTTTCTCAGGTGCCTGCCAATTGTGCTTAGTCCTGGTGAATTAATCAAGTAGCCGTGTTGTGTAGACCTATCTCGCCTGGTGACTTAAATCACCTTTTGTCTTCATGTGGCAATGTAGGATGAAAAGGTTGGAAGGTGTTTAATGAGTAAAAGCCCATTGTTTCATTCTAAAACAGACTTAGAACAGTATGTCTTACACATTGCTACTGAATGGGGTGGACGGTAAAAGTTGACCGATAGAGCTGCGTAGACTCCACGTACCTTGTATAGGACACTGGGGTAGTTGTGCGCCTTTCACAGTAGCATGTGAGTTGCGTTGTGCACAGTACTGAACCAGTGCACCCTCTTCTTTACTGTACTCCTCACAATGTCTCCTTTAATGGCTAACTTAATACTAGGGATGTTTTTCAGAGATAGAGATGGAAGAATATGAGCTCTGCTGTTATTTGTCCCTAGCTATGTCCATAGTTCACTAAGGCTATGTTTTCAGGAGTAGGATTTAAGGCTTGATCTTCTAAAGCCTTTGAAAAATGTAGAATATTTTACAGATTTGCTACCTGTAATATGTATGCTCACTTTGCATATGTATTATGTTCACACGATGCATGCACGCACATGTTTTTAGTGCTTTCTGTATTTATGTAATCTATCAGAGATGCTGTATTTGTCTTGTTTTATTTAAATGGAAAAAAGGGTGTTCATTTCTCATAGATTTGCTTATTTATTTCTGCTTTACAGAAATTATCCTAGAGCATGGACGCCAGTAAAAAGACAGAACCCCCTTTATCTGTAGAAATGGTACAGCAAAGGGCCAATCCCGATCGCAGTCCTTCAGCATCCATTTATGTTCCAGAACAAGGCGGCTACAAAGAGAAATTTGTAAATGCAGTGGAGGATAAGTATAAATGTGAAAAATGTCATCTCATTTTATGCAATCCTAAACAGACTGAATGTGGACACAGATACTGTGAGACCTGCATGAATGCCTTGCTAAGGTATGTTTCCTGTTATGATAAAACATGTTCATACCTTTAAAACTTGTGAACTGCTGAAAATGGTATGGACTTCGCAATAGTTTTATGAATACCTTAAGGTAATCCCCTGACTGGAAGCAGTATTCTGCTTGTTGCTTGCTTGCCTATTTCTCACCTGTGTGCTGGTGCCAGCATTTGCGTGTCTTACTGGCCTGGTAACGGTGGCGGTTTTTTTTTTTTTTTTTGGTTAAATTAGTTTTAGTGTGGATCAGGATGAGATGAAATAAGCTCTCCATAAATACTGTTGAAACTGTGGCTAAGGCATTTCAATCCTATGTAGTGATGCGTTATGTAAGAATTTCTTTGCCTGTGACATGTAGAGTTAGTAGCTGTTTCACTTGACTGCCAACGCTACTATTTTGGTGCAGAATTCATTTAATAACGTGAATTCATGGCTGTAGGAACTTTCAGAGGCTCCTTAAAGTGACAGTACCTAACCTAGCTGTGGAACCAGCCTTACAATTGAGTGTTGGGACTCTTGGGTAAGCCTGATTGCTTGTGGAGCTTCCTTTCCCAATAGCCCTTATAGCTGTGTGTCCCGAGGCTGTATAACTGTTGGTTATATGGGTTTCAGTGGGGTCAGGAAGGCTGGCTTGCTTATTACTGAGATGTTTGGATTGAAGTGCAAAATGTGTGAGTGAACTTTATAGACGTAAAATGAATGCTGAGAGAGGCAAATCTTTCCTATTCTAGGTAAGAATAAAAATGCAGTCATTTAAAAAGAAAAATCCAGCTTTTAAAAAATATCTCTATGTCAATAGAATGTTTCTCAGCTGTGATGTATTGCTACTGATTGTGTTCAGTGGTGTGATTTCAAAACTTGGTCTGCTGTATGGAGAGCAGTCTGCAAGCTTTACTCTCTTGGGGTAAATAAATAGTCAGTACTCCCGCTATATTATTGGGAATGGGGAGATGCAGAACAGAAAGAACTCGCTGGATGTTAAACGCTGTGCTAATAACAGAGAGAGGATTTGATTTTGAAAGATCTCTGGAATCTCCTGTGTATTTCTTCTGACCCTCCTGACTCTGGACTGTAGTTTATATTTTACTTGTGTCTTCCTGAGATTATAATATTTCCAAGTCAAGACTACATGCAGCATGGTAGAAGAGGTGGGAAAATATTACATTCCCCTGTCACATGATAGAGTAGCCTTTGTACTGGACAAATGGGAGCAAGAGTTCATAGCTCACTAATCCACTCCTGTAGCTTTTTTGTGCTACTGCAGTGTGCCAAATTTAAAAGGGAAAAAAACCCTTGCTCAACAGCAAAAATTGGCTTTCTTTCAGTACACGTTTTCAGGTAAGGTATACTTTGTGTTTAAGAGCTGCGGTTATTTCTTTCTGAATATATGTTTTTGGAAAGATCTTACATGGTTAATGACAATGACTGCAGGAAAAGTAAACACCTGGCATGCTTGGATGTGTGCAGATGGACTGAGCAGATCCTTAACAATCTAAGCAGTTATAATTCTGGCGTTGCTGGAATCTGGGCAGTTTTTCTTTCCTGCTGCGACACACACATGTGCCTATTACACTGCAGCTAGAATATGGGCAATTTTACCTTCCTGTCTTACCAACCAGCCTTTTATTGAAAAGGACACATGGATAAGACCACCGCACTACATCTATCACACTACCCTTTCATTCTAGGTATTTCATGTAAGCTATTATTTCAGTGTTTGTTGCAAACAGATTCTTTATTAAAATTTAATTGACAGCTCCTTTTTTGAAAAATAAAAACATGTACCATAAAACTGGAAGCAAAATAAATTTACCTTGTTTCTGTATTTGGCACAAAAGTTTTGCATTCAGTGTCATCTGCTGCTGTACGCACACTGATTATATGCTAGCTAGTTCTGATCCAGGGTTATTTGAGGACAAAGAATTGGGAGGCAGTGTAAATAACACAATAAAGATGTCTGCTCAGTATGCAGCAGTAGTGTAAAAGAGCAAGTGGGGATGCTTGAGTGCATTCAATAAAAACTGGAAAAGGGTGACATTGTGTTAAACACTATATGCCCTCGAGTGGATTAGTTTCCAATTTTTTTTTTTTAAACTTAAGAAAAATATTACAGATAGTGAAACCGCAACATATATAAGATGCTCAGAAGTATTATGAGACTCGCATAGCATGGTCAGTTCAGGGCACAGAAGCCAGTGCGATGATTTGATTGAAATAATCAAACTGATTCAGGCTTTTACACTGATGCACAATGCTACTAACAGAAGCAGCTTATGTACTCTATTGATGAGTTGCTTTGCAAAATAATTTAGCTCTTACTTAGTGCTTTTCATCCATAGATCTCAAAGTGCCCTGCAAGGGAGACCAGTATGATTATCTCCATCTTTCTTGGGGAAATGGAGCTACAAAGAAATGAAGGGTTTTACCTTATGACACCTAGCAGGTCAGGGCCAGAAACAGCTATAGAAACCCAGATGCCTACCCTCCAATTCGGTTTCAGTCCACTAGGCTACTCTGTCCCCCAATCTACCTGCTGTGCAAGAGATCCCAAATCTTGCCAGTTTTGCCAGTTTGCCCTGATAGATTGAGAAATAATGAGAACTTGTGGATCAGGGGTAGGCTTTAAAATTAGGAATGTATTTTGACTTCTTCAAGAAAACCACTGTGCAGCTGACTAGAGGCATTGTGGTTGTTTTACTTAAGAATGCCATATACTGTCCACTGAAAACTAAGTTTTCAAATCTCTTGAAAAGACACCACATTATTAATGAACTGTATTCATTTTTAACAATTAAAAAGCCATTATGGAGTAACCATAACTAAGTGAAATGTCTCTAAAGCTGAAATTCTTGTACTGTAGAAATTCAGTTGAGTTAAATTTTTTTGTTTTATTTTCTCTTCAGTTCCTCTAGTCCAAAATGTACAGCGTGTCAAGAAAGCATAGTAAAAGATAAGGTATTGTTAAAATTATTTCCTACTTAAGAGTATTGAATAACATATGAGATGTATTAGTGCTTTGTGGGAATTGTTTTATAAGCCTAATTAACTACCTGGGGAAGATAATTTTGTTGCAAAATCTTAAGCCATGTATTTTAAACATGAGGACAGCTCAGTTTTTACTATTAGCCACATGGCAGAAGACTGTGTGCCAGCTTCATCCCTAGTAGTCCAGCCAGGTGTCACATCCTGTTTTCATAGCTGGGAGCTGCAGCAACACATTGCAGCTGTTCTCCTGTCAGCTGGGAGGATGATAAGAACTACCCTATCCCCTGTGGGGATACTGAGACTGTGACAGACCTAGGCAAAACTTACTTCTGGTTTGGCTCCAGACCAGTGTCTGCTGTTTGAGTAATCTTGTTTTACAATGTATTGTTCTATGAAAAGCACTATTCCAAAACCGTGTGGAGTTACAGTAATCATAATGGAATCGAACCTTTTAATATAGATTAGGTATTTCACTGATACCTTCTTCACTGTTTTTCACAGGAAAACTTTGTGTTGCCTTTGGAAGGTTTAGCATAAAGAAAATCCTTTTTGGTGTAGTATATGGCTTATGCAATTTTTACACTAGATTTTTCTGAAGTGCTTAGTTAACTCTTTACTACCTAAATAAATCCTTCTAATAGTAAATGTTGTCAGGAAAAGGTTAGTGCTTAGGTTAGTCTCTCCTTGTTTTAGCACAAAACGTCTCTGAACAGTGCTCGACGTAACTCAGTTTTGACGTGGATGTGTTGTCTAGGATCTCAGACCAGTAATGACAACGTGTAGCTTGTTCATCATGCCAACTAGTGTTGTCATGATTTCCTAGCTCCTGATATAAATAAATGGGCACATACGTTACAAGACTTGAAATTGCTTTAACACAGGAGGAGGACATGAAGGGCAATGTGTATTAAATGCGTATTATACTAACTGTGCAAGTCAGACAACGATTTTCACGAAACTGGAGATGTCTCTTCCCATAGAATACTGATGCATTTTTAGGCAGTCCTGGCAAAACTATTTCAAAAATATTTTATTATCTTAACTGTGATAGGCAAAGCTGTATCCTTGTTACACTGAATTATTTTGAAAAAATACTACAGTGCCAGCATTGATTATTCAAGTGAGATTTGTTGATTCATTAAACTTCACCAGTGCAAATAGAAAAAAAAAAAAAAAAAAATTCAAGAGAGATACCAATGACCTGTGTTAGATAATAGGTCAAATGAGGGTGGTTGCAGTGTTTCCTTCTTTACTGATGCTGGGGATAGATTCACAGTGACGGTGGACAGATTGGATGATAATTTTTTTTGGTTGTTAATTTTAGTGTGCAGAATGCTTCTGTAATTACATTATCCCTTTGGTGTTCACAGTATCACAAAACTGAGTTTCTCACTAAAGTAATCATAAGTAGGAATTGATCCTTTGGGGTTTCTAAATAGTCGTGAAGGCAATTGCAATTAACTAGAAGTTTTTATCCCTTCATTTTGGACTTCAAAACAGCAATAATGCTCTTCAACCCTCTTCCCTGGTTTCTACCCTTAGCAACAGGGCTTCTTGACAGTGCTAACTACTCTTTGGCTCTTACTCAGTGATCTCTGTCTTTTATGGGATATCACCTGTAAAAGGTTGAAAATCCAAACCCCCATGCTCTCTACTTCTAACTTTTTGCAGCTCTCTTATAACAAAAGAGGCCTGAAAGGTTTCTACATGTTAAAATAGATTTTTAAAGCTTACTCATCTGTGAAGTAAACCTCCTCCAATCTAAGAACTCAAGAAATTTCTGTAGGTAGGTGTTAGCACTGAAGTGTAAACAGTCTAGTGGCTGTGTGACACCTAAAAATCCTGAACCCTCTAAACAGCTGTGCATTGGCTCTTTTGTGTCTTATGGTATCATACCTAATACACCAGCTTTCTAAATAATGTAGCTTGTGCAGGTCTTATTATTGGCAAGCAGATGACAAAAATCTTAGTCCTTTCTCTTATCTTTTTCCTATACTCTGTTTACAGTAGAAGTGAAATAAATAGCAGATCTGTCCAAATATTTTCTTTCCCTGGACTGGTTCATGGCAGAAGAATCTTGGTGATGTGCACATTTAAGCAAAATTGAATGGCTGGGTTTTATTTCTGGCGTATAAATGACATTACTCTAGTGGAATTGCACGATTTCTAATTTATATCAACTTGAATATTCTTGAGTGTTTAAATTTCTAAAATGAAGTGGCTTTTGATTTTTCAGGTATTTAAGGATAATTGTTGCAGGAGAGAGCTACTTGCCCTTCAGATATACTGCAGAAATGAAAACAAGGGCTGTAAAGAACAACTATCTTTGGGTCAGTTACTGGTAAGTAATCTAACGTAGTCATAAGCTTCCTTTTGAGATAAAGGAGGAGAATGAATGTTGCAAATGAAAACCTCAGTCTATTTCTTGATTAGGTCATGCTAGTTGTTGATCTGATGACTAATAAATGTCAGAATAGAGTTAAATTGTTTAGAAATTCCACTTTTGAATGACCTATCAGGAATTGTAGTCAAAAATCAAGAGGTTCTGTGACGCTAATACACTGGAATACAAGCCCATGAAACAAATGGGGAACTGAAGGGAGAGCCAAAATCAGGGAAAGATTACAGTGTGTACTTTAGAAGTGTGAGAAATTTGAATACCTTTTGGATGTCTCTTTTTTTTTGATGTCTTTTTTTAATATTTTAATTTCTATTTGTTTATTAGTTTATTACCAGTTTTGGTCTTCTGATATAAGTTGTGGTTTATGCTTGGAGTTGTCAAGCCTTTGGCATCTCCAGACTTGTACAAAATAACCTGTAGCTTTATTTCATGAAGGTATAACTTAGCAGTAATCCAATAGTCTTGACAGTCGAGGAGGGATGGTTACACAGCAGTCTGCAATGAAGTGTGTAGGTACACAAAATTGCTTTGAATGAGCTAGTTTAGGTACTGAAACTACTTAAAGTAGCATATATACTTATATGGGATAACACCTTAAAACAAGAATGCTTACCCTTGATTAAACTAGCTTGTGTGGAATTTGTGCTGTGTTAGAATGCTCTCTGTACTAAGCCAGCTCAGATTTATCTATATTGCACTGACATCTGCTCTGTAGGTAAATGGAGTATTTCTGAGTAGATGAATTACTGTTTGCTCTTGCACGGTATTGTGCACAGGTAACTTTGCTTACTGTGATTCTAAGCTTACTTTGGTTCTGAATTTATTTCTTATGGGGTGTCCTCAAAGGATAGGAGAAGTGCACAAAACTTAGTTGGCTTGACTATTTCTTTTCAATCTTTCAGACACATTTAAAAACTGACTGTCAGTTTGAAGAACTTCCATGTCCTCGTGCTGATTGCAAAGAAAAAATACTGAGAAAAGACTTGCCAGACCATGTAGAGAAGACCTGTAAATACCGGGAGACAACTTGTAAATACTGTAAAAGCCAAGTCCCAATGATTACATTGCAGGTGCAGTATTTCCTTGTGTGTAGAACAAGATTCCATATATTATGCGGAATAACAACTCTGTTTAGCTATCAAGACTATTGGCCACTCAGCCTAAATTACTAAGTCAAAAAAGAAAACAGTCTGACTTCACAGAATCATAGAGTAGTTGAGGTTGGCAGGGACCTCTGGAGATCATCTGGTCCAACTCCAGTTGCTCAAGCAGGGCTGCCTAGTGCAGATCGTCCAGGACCTTGCCCAGTTGGCTTTTGAATATCTGCAAGGATGGAGACTACTCCACAGGCTTTCTGGGCGATCTGTTCTAGTGTTCAAGCGCTCTCACAGTGACAGTGTTTTCTTATGTTCAGGAGTAAAACTTGGAAATTTGAAAACTTGCAAAACATGTTTTTGCTGTGGAAGCGCCAGCTGCTGCATTGCCCGGGAAATATTTTCTTTGTTTTTTGAACAAAAATGTTCAGATACTGCATTTAAGAAAAAAAAAATAGATCCACTGAATAATATTGATCCTAAAGTAACTTTTGCCATGCTTTTTGATTTTCCCTAAATTGATACAGTACTATGCAACTACCATTGTAACAATTAACTGCTATGCAGAAAAAACATGAGCATAGCAGTCGACTGGAGTAATAGCACCTTTCTATGTAGCACTTCTTGGGTCCTGTGTAAGCTGTTATGAAAGGAAAGGAGGAAACAGTACAACATCAAAATGTGTTTTAGCGTGACCAGTAAAGGTATCTGTTATGCCTAGAGAGCGTTACTGCTATTCTTGGCCTGCTGAGTAGGTTGTCTGATATGCAGCTTGTTGTGCTCCAGCGTGGAGACTGAGAAAGCCATACTTACTTTATATGACAGAATTGTCACTTGAGTGTGTTTGCATTATTTCCCATTGTACTGTATTATGTTAAATCCCTCTTACTATAATTTTAGTATTTATTTTTATTCTATTTGTATAGTTTCCATAGTTTGACAGTCAGATTTCAGAGCCTCTTAGTATAGTAAGAGTGATCAAAACTTTATTTTCATTTGCGGTCTTTGCTATTGTTAGGCAAAGCCTCACTGTGATGAGAGGTGCTCCTTGCGGAGAGCTGTCACTGTGAAAAGGCATAGGTAGAGTCTTTCCAAGTTCTGATGTACATCTGTCTTTCACTTATGAGTATATACTTGCAAAGTTTGGTGCTTTGATAACTGTGTGTTTTCTAGCGTAAGGTGACTGAGATGTGAAAATGGCCAGAAAAGATTTAAGTTTACGCTGTGTAAATTCTCACAGTTTTCATCTTCACCTCTTATCAGAATGTGTATGTAGATAGATTATGGATGCTGTTCTTCCAGCATTTTGTTTAGATTAGGAGTTATGTTAAGACGAAGAATGACATTCAAGAATGCCTAGAGTGTTAACTGACAAAATCAGTGAGTGTTAGATAAGTCTTTGTGTACAACTAGATTTCCGTATCTAACCAATACACTCACAAGCTCCTTAAAGGCAATGTTGTTTATACTGGCAATGGCAGTGTAGTGGAAATGCACTTAAGTTTTGAGAGTCTGAAATCATCCTTACCTTTTGAAGAGCTCAGAATGCTGTTTTAGTTTAAGAAATCTCTCTCTAATCAAGTGTTGATGGATTTAATGTTTTTTTTTTTTCAAAATAAATATACTTAGATGAAGCCTTTGAACTTGCAGTAGCTTTCAAGATGCACAGAAGCTGAGACAAATTTTAGTCTATCGGTTGTTTTGATTCTCAGTGATTCATAATTTAGATGCTCATGTTGGTAACAAGAATGGCATATTACTTTGAACTGCAGAGTAGAGTGTTTGTTCTTTTTCCAAACTCTTTGGCAGTAGAATTTTGAGCTGCTTTAAGAGCTGATAGCATTTACTTATCCGAAGAGCTTTGTTTAAATGCAGTTTTATATTGAGATGTCACTATTTTGCTTGCATTAAAGTTGGTACCACTATTCACCTGCCCTTAATGCTCTAAATGAGGCTACATTTGTTAATTACAACATTTCCAAGGAACGTTAATGTTATAACATGGTCATTAATTTATATAATTTCAATATATATAAAAGAAAAGACAGTTTTGCTACCATGTTGCTTTATGGATGTGAAAGCATTCACAAGTAGAAGTTCAGCAATTGTCTGGTACTACTTGTTAATATTTTTATTGACTAGATGTGATTATATAAATGCTGATGGCTTTGTCTTATGGTCTGAGAAAATGTTGCCTAATTGTACTTCAGTAATGAGAATTAATGAGACCATACAATCAAATGACGGGCTTCTTTTGACTTTTCAGTTCAGTTTTCTCACCCAGAGCTTGAGTTCATCTCTAGCTTCTGTAGCCTAACTTTTTTTTCAATGTATGAACAACTGCCTCAGTGACTTGAACTGAAAATGGTGATAGAGAGAGTGTACCAAGAAAAAAGGTATGCAAATGGAAACAAAAATAATTTTACCGGAGTGCATATGGTTCATGTCTTCACAGAATCCCATGACCTGTGGGGTAGGAAATCCCCGTTGTTGAAGACAAAAACTCTTTAGTTAGCACTGTTAGTTCACCTTTTTTTTTTTTTTTAGATTGTATTAGTCTTGTTTGCACTATCACTAGGTGAGTTACCTTGTCAACTGATTTTCTTTTATTTGGCTCATACATGCATAAGTGTATATATATCTATATATTTTGTTACAAAGCTGCCTTTTTCATCCTGTAGGCTCCCAGTGCTGCTGGTAGCATATGTTGTCTTTTTAAACCCATAACACATATGTTCAGAGTAGGGGAAAGTTTTTAGGTTCAGTTTCTTAGTATGTCTGAACAGAAAAGGTCCTATAAAT